TGCGGTCCGCATAGCACCAACCGCGGACGCACTTCATTTTGTGTGGACCGCGCTGGTGGGCTCCGAGGCCTGCAACCCTTCTGGACCTGCTACAGCTATGATTTTAGGCCTAAAACATCCCGGACCCCCCGGAACTTCAAACCAATTGTACCAACACATCCCATGACATCGTTCAAACTTTTTCAAAACTTCGAAATGCTCACAACCACATCAAATCACCAATTTAACATAGGATTCAAGCCTAAGAACTCCAAGAACTCTTAAATTATGCTTTCAATAAAAAATTCTTTCAAATCTCGTCTGAATGACCTGAAATTTTGCGCACACATCCCAAATGACACAACGAAGCTACTGCAACTCTCAAAATTCCATTTTTGACCCCTATATCAAAATATCGCCTATCAACCGGAAATCGCCAAAATATCAACTTTGCCAATTCAAGCCTAAATCTTTTCTATAACTAACCAAACCATAAAAATTCCAATCTGAGATCAAATACACACAAGTCAAATCTTGGTCAAACATTTCGAATATTAAGCTTTCAACTGAGACTGTTCTTCCAAACTCATTCTGATTAACCTGAAACCCAACACCAACGATTTACATAAGTTATAATACACCACACGTGTTACGACCCATTTTCTAAACAAGCCGAGACCGGCACTCGATCACTAAACCTGATCGAGCGAACCATCTCTGCTTATTCAATGTATTATAGCTCCACACTTTAGATGCAACAAAGCAATACTCTAACCAAATACTCTTGATTAATTCAAATATTTAAATAAATCAACTCCAAAACTTTATTCATAGTAACTACTGAATTATTGCTAAGTTATTATAAAATAACATATGAATCTCAACCCAATGACTATGTCTATGAAGCATCTACCGATAAACTGACGCACTGCTCAGGACATGAGATTTCCTGGCCAGTTCTCTAAATAAATAAAGAAATAGCTAAATGAAAATGACTCTAAGAATACTCCACGAACAAAAGCGGAGCTCACCAATATCACTGGAAGGGAAGGAAGTCCTAACTCGTAGCCTGCTCGCCTGCAAATCCGGTTCCTACGTTGTACCGCAGACCAACGTAGGTTCCCAAAAGAGAACGTCAGTACCATCCACTGTACTCAGTGAGTTTCAACAACAGGGGGAGAAACTTTAATAACATATACATTGCGAGCAAAGGTTCTAAATGCATGTAAACATAAAGCTTATAAGAATAATTCTAAAATAATTGCATAATAGCAATTTATGAATATTCTAAAAGAAATTCTTTTCTTTTTTCTTTATTTAAAAAAAAATACTTTACTTTATACTTTGGGAGTTCCAACTATCCTGACTTAATTCTGTCTCAGTCACCATGTGATCGGCACGGGTTCGATCCCAACCTGATCGAATAGGCCCAATCCACGAGGTGCCACTCGCTTCATGGTTCTCAGCACTCATGTCTCATACCTTAGCGTGGCTAAGTAAATTCTCAGCAACGAGACCCTCGGCTCGTGTGCTCCCTACTTTGGCACAAGTAGTTTCAGGAAGTCAACGCCTTGGTCAGGACCTTAGGCCTGGACGATGACCCCTTCTCAGAATAAAGGATACTCCCAATAATCTTTTCTTTCTAAAATTTCTTCCTGTGACTTTTCAAGTCTAAATCTTTTATACATACTCATAGAGTTATCCTTAAATGTAAGCCATTACATATAAATTACAATAGAAGTATTTGAAGTGTACGAAATATTGAAAACCTTTAAAAGATATCAAAAATTGTTCAATTTATTAAGAAGCCGACATGTATGCATCAATATTCAACACGACTTAAAGTTCCCTACCATCGCACTTCTTGTCACAGTGCTATTCTGAGTTATTTGCCATATGCAAAATCTGACTTGAAATCCAATTTCTATGACCAAAGTAATGTTACAGGTTTTATTAAATGATCTTGAGAATAATAAAAAGAATAACACACTTATGAAATATTCAACTTGCCTTAGTATACAGATAAAGTCATTACTAATGTCTTAGTCCAATTAATACCACAAGCGTTATTAATATTCATCAAACACCTTGTGTGCATGCTTTTGTGAGTTAAATCACCTTAATAAAGGGTTATATCAACTCACCTCAAAACTTCTCAAGCCAATACGTAGGCCCAAGTCCAATTGACACCAGTCAAACAATCGATTCTACGACAACCGGTGTATTATAATCAATTTAAAGTACTACACCTAAATATGAAATTTATTGTTGATATAGAGGAAGAATGGAATTAACTATTCTATTCTTACTACTGTAGAGTAATTGACAACGGGAATTTTATATACCTGAGTTCGAGAATTAGTGATTTGTAAAGAACCCTAGGATTTCTGTTGCCTGCGTGATAGGAAGCCTCTGTTGAGCGAACTGTTCTGTTTTTTTTTCTGTTTAAGGCAAAAGCCTTTCGTCCCTTTTGGGTGAATGACAGAACGTGGGTATTCTGTTTTTATTAAGGCTCAGAGCCTTTGTTTTCCATTAGCCTTTTTTTTAACTTAACTAATAATTAATGATACTCACTTTTAATAATTAATAATATTAAAATTATTAATATTTTCAGAATTGTATATGCAGTTATATATATATATATATATATATATAGGCAAGGTAAAAATAATAAAAATGGTAATAATTTATTTCTATACTTAGCGTGTTTCAAAACTTTTAAAAATATGAGAAATGTTACAACACGGGCCTGAGAATCGGTGAGCGAAGTGAAAAAGCTCAAAGCGACTGGTCGGATCGTTACAATATCTGTAGTCGCTCTCCATTCCGGCCGATTTTTCTTGATCTGCAGTTGTTCTTTAAGGATTGCATTCCCTGTTCCACACCATGTGAAGAAAGATAATTTCTCCTATTCTGTATCTCCTTCCACCTGTCTCCCTGGAAATGATAAAATCTAACTCAAAGAAAGAAGTAATAGATTAGACCTTAAGAACCATATCATTCCTAGGATAGTGCAATAACATATTGACTGAACAGGACGTTTCAAACATTCTTGTTGGAGAAAAACAAACAGTAGGTAAACTTCATAAAAAACAAAAAACAAACAGTAGGTAGTAATTCTTAACCGTCCAAGCCTCATTCATTTCATTGTACAATGAAATAAGTAAGATATCTTTTCTTTTTTAGCCTCAAAGTATTGTGGAGGAAAGGAATGCCAAGAAACACCATTTGGTGGAGAACCTGTGTTGGAGAAGCAAGAAGCTTCAGTATTTATACCTAGTTATTATTTTGGGAACAAAGAGTGGATTGGGTTGAAATAGAATGGGGTTGATTTCCGCATACTGATGGGGATAATCTTCGAAATCAGTTTAATAACAGCTTGGCCAGATTTGAGGTACAGGAACTACAAGCCAATCAGTAAGGCAGCTGATATGAAACTAATGGGCTCCCTCCACAGGGATAATCTAAAGAAAATATGTGGCTGTAACTTTCTTGAATGGATGTCATTCCCAGTTTATGAACAGGTCAAATTGATGAACAAACAATTCGAGCAAATGTGGCCATTTATTGCCGAAGCAGTAGAGGCTATTGTAAGAGATTTGCTGAACCTTTTTTTAGAAGATTATTGACCTCCTGGAATTATTTCATTAAAGTTCAACAAATTACCATTGGGAACTTTTGCACCTAAAATAGAAGGTATTCATGTTTTCAGAGCCTTAAACAAGGTCAAAGCACTATCGATATTGACCTCTGATAGGATACCTCACAGCCTAGTGGTCAATGAAGTGGGTGCAAACCTTGGAAACCAAAGTTCAAATCTTATCAGAGACAACAAACACTAGGTGATTTCTTCCTATCTGTCTAAGTCTTGGTAGGCAGAGTTACTTGGCATTTACGCGTCTCGGACTATCCGAAAATGTCGTTGGATGTGTGTCGGATCCTCCAAAAGTAGTATCGACACGGGTGAAATAACATTTTGGAGAGTCCACACAACATAGATGCTATTGATAGTTATAGGTGTCCAGTGGAATGGTCAACGTGTGCCAAGCTGGGACACCTTCTGTTATCCAGAAAAAGGACATTGACCTCTGATGGGGTGGTGATCTCAATATTGTCTTAAGTATTGAAGCTGCAATGGCTGCTTCTGTACCCACTCAGTTGAAATATCTTCAATCTTACTGTTATTTGTGTCATATTCCAACTAGCTGGGAAATTCCTTGCTTCTCTGTTGTTATTGTAGATTTACTTTCTAAGCCAAAGTCTAAAATTGATTATACTTTGAGGGCTGTTGGTGGAAGTTTAACAGCTCTTCTTGGACTTTCAGATATGATTGATGACACTGTAAATACACTAGTGACCAGTAATAGATATGCTAGAATGGCCCTACCAAAATTATTGTTCCAATGGGCGGCATGCCTATAGATACTAGCGATTTGAAACTTAAGCCACAGGGAAGCATATAGAAACTGTAGTAAAGGCTAATGGCTTAAAGAATCATGAAATGTTAGGAAAATCTGATAAATATGTGGTTATATTCATTCGTCCACTTTTCAAGGTTAATACCAAAATTATTGAGAAGAACCTAAATCCCATTTAGGATCAACTTTTAATTACAAAAGACAAAGAGACTCAATCTCCCATCTTGGAGGTCTTCATAACGACATTGGGCAAGACCAGCGAATGGGTGTCATAAAGTTGCCTCTGAATGAGCTAGTAGCTGAGACTACTAAGGAAATTGAAATAAGATTACTGCCAAAACTTGCATGTGCTGATTAGTTCTGTGAATTAGAAAGTAATCTTTTGAATCTAGGTTGTTAGAAGATAATATACTTCTCATTGGAAAATTTATTGGGGCTCCAGGTTGATTTAACTTTCAGAAAAAAGAAACATTCTTGTTGTTCGTTGTTCATTCATTTGACCTAGCAATCAAGGAGACAATTTAATTTGTTGTTTATTTCTCTAAGTCGTATTTATGGAAACTCTGGTTTAATTTTATATGGTGCATTGATTTAATTCTGCAGAGGTAGTGAATAGTATTTATGAGATCAAAGGACGTAAGCATACAAGTCCTCTGGCTATTTGTGTTGGTGATGTTTATGATATACAACGTTACGCTGTAACAGATCATCTACCTCATGGCTTGCTAGACTGCCTGCTTCCTAGACCTGTAATTGTGGTCTTAAGGCGATGTTAGTAGCTTATTGTATGTTATGTCCAACAAATATGGCAGGAATGGGTATCCTTATTCAAGATCTGTTCAAATCTTAAGGTTAAATATCCCAAGTTAGTACAACGACATTTTTACACAATAATTGTATGTAACTTCTCAAGTAAGACACTTGAATAAGGACCAAGAAGAGCCACTTACCTAGGCAAATACTGGCCCGTGTTCAGTAGTTTTAGAAGCTTTTATCTTTCTCTTATAAATCTTCTGTGCTAGAGGCTGAATTCATATATTTTGCAGGTGACTCAAACATCCTTGAGAAGTCATTAAACCCTGGATTAGAGACCATAGGGGTTCAAGTGCCTGACTATAAGTTCATCAGGGCAGTTGCCCGTGGTTCTAGAAGTTCCCTTGAAATTACTAGTGCAAACCTCAGCGGACAACCGAGTAGCATAAACATCAAAGATTTTGAGAACCTTTGGGATCATTGTGCATATATCTATGATGGAGGAATTCTTCCAGCTGGGCGAGCAGGATCAATAGTGGTGGATCTTACCAAATTGGGAAAGTACAAGATTCTAAGTCCTGGGAGGTAAGCTTCCAATAACTATGGTGGGAAATATTATCGAGTTGAACTGATCATAACCTTTTGAGAATGCTTCAAAAGAGTTCACTTCTTAAATTAATACCAGAAAATACTCGAGTAAGAAGATGCATAATAATTTTTATATTGTTTACTAAATCAATCATGCTCAATTCCATTACTCCAATAAATATAATAAGCTTAAGAATTAAGATATACAATTTGTCTCATGCCTTGATCGTATTAATGGTATGCTACTTGCAAACCGTTTCTTGTTTGAGGGACAAAAGTTTCTTTTGTACTGTTCAAGTACAGAGTCTTCATGTGGAATATATGTCATTTTTGGAGTTTTTGCCTTCAAGATTTCTATCTGGTGCAATCCTCTAGATAATGTCTATGACTTGATCATGTATGTATTCTCTGTGTATAATTATGTCTCGTTGTCGAAACTTCTCTTGGTGTTTGACTGTTTGAACTAGAAAGTCGTCATAAGATTGTTTTGTTTAAATTTGATGAACCACTAACTTTGTGAACAGTGCCAAGGAAGAGACGGTTGCTATCTTTGAAAGACACTCCCTACTGGAAGATGGGACTGTAGATTAGCAAGCTATTGTTAAGTTGAATCTGTTCAGCAGAAGAGGGCTTTATATATATAGATATTATTTGAAAACATCTTAAACAACACAAAAGTGCACAAACACACTCCTATAATGGAATACATGTACATCTGCAACCAAGAGCAAGTTATGTATATAGTAGAAACTACCGCCTATGGTGCGCAAGCACCTTGCACGAGATATATGCCTCTCATGATGGGTAATGACATAAAAGATGTAGCACTCTGTAGTCTATCCATGAACTGAGCAAGGAAATGTACACCATCAAGTAACAAACAATGTCACATTTTGCAAAACCAGAATGAGTAGTGCTCTTCTTTGCGGTGCGCACTAACTAGACCCCCACAGTGTAAGAAGACAAAGTTGGTTCCATCAGAGAATGCATCAAGCATTATCTGTTTTGTGCCAGTTTCAGCTAATATTGAATTTCCATCAACATCTACTTCAATTGGTTTATCCACTGTATTATGTTCAGAAGGCTGGGATACGGGAGGCATGGCCTCAGCAATGGCACACTCAGCAAATAAAGAAGCCAGCTCATCTGCAGCCACACTTTCCTGTACTTTATTTTTGTACAACTCCTGGGCACGATTAAGGGCTTGAAATACAACTTGCTCACCGCCTTTGGTTCTCATGGCCATCACCACCGCTTGGAGAGCCTAAGAAGGCTTGCCTTGATCGATTCGCTGGCGAACAGTAGTAAGCATGCCTCTAACGACTTTGTGTTAGCCCAAACTGGAATGCAGTTGTGACGGTGGAGGTTGCGGTTGCGCCAACGTGGACTCCGCCTTCATCATGTCAGTGTCCGTACTGTCCATGGCATTTCAATTGCAATTTGCGATCTGTACTTTCGTCGCTAAAGAATACTTTATTTCTGACTCTTATTGTACTGAAAGGTTAGTATTTGATTGGAGGTATTAGTAAAAAAATGAAGATAAGAGAAATGGCAAAGAGACAAGTAGAAGCTTCTAGAAATTTCTGGAATATTTGCCCCTTCCCACCCCCAACACTCAGGCGAAGAGGACTTGTGCCTGAGTTTTAAGCATTGCCTCCTAAAAACATGATGTGGTTCTGCTTGTTGTCTTCAGAAAGCTTTTTTGCTTCCATTTGAAGTACAAATCACTTGGGAAACATTGAGGAGCACTATTTGTTCACGTGTAACCTTTTTGTGTGTGTGTGTGTGAGAGAGAGAGAGAGAGATCACATACTAAACAGGATCCAAAGTGCGTCTACTGCTCTCCATTTGGTAGTATCTGAGAGCATTTATAATGTAATGAATCAAGTGTTACACTAAAACCTCATATTTGGAACTTCTTAACTTGTTGAGATTCAGTGTCTTGAGAATGACTAATGATGGCAAAAGTTCTACTTTACTCCTTAATGTCCAAGTTCTTTGTTTTTCATAGTCCAACAGGTATAGTTTCACATCTCGTAGTATCAGTTTCTTTTACTTAATTTACATTCAATTGAGAGTATGCAACTCCACGAGCCGAATATATTTATACAATGTTACTAAACATTCACATTTCTTCCTCTTTTACTCTTAAGGAAAAAAAAGAGAATGTGGAGTGCAGAGAAAGGTGTAAGGAGATGTATGTTTTAGAGTGTTCATTTTTTGCAAAAGCAAGATGCAATTTTGCTCGAGGCACAGATTTTTCTCTTTTGTTAAGCATAATTTTGAGGAATTCATATATTTTTACCATTTTGTGTTAGGGAGAAAAAAGAATAAAAAAGTACGAAAGAAAGTAAATGCAATGGCTCAACATATAAATGATGGAACGATATCCAAGTGTAATGTGAAGGCCAAGTATCAAAGAAAGAATATGAACATTTACACAAATTACAATCTTTATCGATCCAACTGGAGGAATTCACGTACACATTTTCTCTTTCTATATCTTCTTCTGATAATTGTCACACCTCCTTTTTCTGCACCCGAGAGGCGCAAGGGAGTTTTTTCCAATTAAAGGACAATCGAAACGGGATTGGTTTAT